TCTTTCCCTTCTTTCTTTAATGCCCAGGTAGGAGCGAAGAATACGACCTTTGGCGCGAGCGGAAGGAGTACGCCGCGACTATGCGTTGTAAGACCGAGAGAGAGAGAGAGAGAGAGAGAGAGAGAGAGAGAGAGAGAGAGAGAGAGAGAGGAGAATACGAGATCCGCCGCGCTTCATCGCTTTTAATAGTCCAAGAGGCGGAAATCAGGATAAAATGCGCAACCAAGATAAAATGCCTTATCTCGAGACTTTGCGCACTATCGGCAAGTGCAACGATATTACCAATGAATCGGCTACGTTCACGAGGGACACTGCCAACTATTTTGGCCATATGCAAATATTGGACGCTGGTGTTTTCATAAGGACGAGACAATTACTCATAAATCGCTTAGGCCGCGTTACGGCCTCTTGAGCGAGACGATAATTCATGTCGAATTTGCAATCCTTGCGTTCGATCAGGTACAAAACGAGGAATGCGAGGGTACGACGCTTCTAGCATTTTGATGTGGCCAAAGGGGCCCGCGGAAGCGCGTGAATCGGCATTAATTTAGCGACGGTGGCGGTGACGGTGGCCGTGTCGGCAGCGATAAACGCTCGCAAAAAGGAGCGCGGAGAGAGAGGAGATAATGGAGTAAGTGGCGGTGATGATGGTGGCGGTAGAAGGATGGGACAGAGAGCGTGAGGGTCTTGATCGGGGTGAAGGGGAGAGAGGGGGGGGGGATAACCAACTCTTGTGCGGGGAATCCTGATGTGGGTGCGCGCTGTATCACGGGACGGTGATAATCGCGAAGTGGAAGTGGCGCGGATCGAGTCAGGCCGCCGGCGATATTTCGGAGGGCTGCAATTTTCGCGACCAGTTCGAATGCCGCGAGCCCTAGAGTTGAGAGGTAATAGAAGAGAGGAGGAGGAGGAGGAGGAGGAGGAGGGGCGAGAAGGGGCGAGGTGTAGCGATAGCTTGGGTTGACGGACTCGGGTCGGGAGAAAAATGTCCCTCTTGTAATCATGTGGGATAGCAATAAACGATAACGGAACCACGGAGGGAAGGCTCCATTAACCTGAATTTTACTTTTACCGATACGGCGTATAGCGGGGCGCTGTTATAATTACTCCCGATGTTATTCCTCTCGGAGCTCAAATACTCGATTTCGCTTGGCGATAATCGCGGACCAATCTACTACCCGCTACGCGGCAAATTACGTTTGGGCTCCGTAAGGCCGGCTGAGCGTGGCCATAGTTTGTATTAAAACGCCTAAATGCAGGAGACGCCGAGCGCCGAAACGTCAAGAGGGAAAGGACGGTTGTGACGTTCTCATTAGGCGACTCGATCGCGGAAATAAGGGCGAGCTGTCGATAGTGGCGAACGAAAGCTGAAGGCTAACTCAACGGGGGAGTCAGAGCGGGAAACGGTAAAATGTCACTGTTAGCCGAGGCTCGCGGTGGAACGCGTCGCCTAGTAGCAGAGGAAGAGCGAGGTTGACAGAAACGGGCCCTAAGCGTGTGGGGAGCCGGTGAAGGCCGCGGCAGGGAACGCGAGAAGAGGAACGATGTGAGGCGCGCGAGAGAAAGGAAGAATCGCGGTATAGAGGAGGATGAAGATGGAAACGGAGAAAAAGGAATAGGAGAGGAAGAGTTGGCGACGGAAGAGAGGACAGTGCGCGCGCGTACATGTAGCTGGTGTACGCGATATAGCCGTGGCTAGATGGAGGAGCGAGCGAACAAGCGCGAGAAGTAGCTAAAGAAAGAGCAAGAGAGAGATAGAGAGAGAGATAGAGAGAGAGAGAGAGAGTGAGTGAGAGGGGGGAGAGGGAGAGAGTGAGAGAGTGAGGAAGAAAGGGCGAGAGCATTGGGAGCGGGGAGGGAGATAGGACGAGAGAGTGATAGAGCGACAGAGAGAGAGAGAGAGAGAGAGAGAGAGAAGAGATGAGACGTGGAGGAGTGAGAGAGCGATGAGCTACACTAGTGCGGCGGGATAATACCGCTAGCCGGGCATCCAATCGGCTGCTACCTTTGGGAGGAAGCAGCCAATCCTCGTGGGCAGGTTACGCGGGCCCCGGAGAGCCTGGTTTATAAAGTCAGGTCGAGTCGCGGCCCCGAAGACAGAGCCGTGCCGACAGCGCAACCATCAGGACGGTTTTTCCGCTCAAGACTGAACACACACGTACACACATACACGCACACATACACGCACACATACAGCAACACACCCATATTTATATATATATATATATATATATATATATATATATACACGCATATACGCGTTCTATATTTATATGTATACATATAATAGACAGAGACATACGTACAGGCATATATAATCGCACATATACAACAAACCAGACTCGCAAAACGTACGTATATATATATATATATATATATATATATATATATATTTATCTATCTATATATACCTATGTATTACTATATTTATATATGCGTGTGCGTATGCGTATGTTGATATAAATATAAAAATACATAAGTATAGTATACGTGTCGTCGTAAGATCGGCAGTATGTAAACATATATTGTCGTACAAAAGTAGATGCACGAGTCGGTAGGCGTGCGCGATAGATATTGTGCGCGGTGCCAAGAGGGTCACCTGTCGCGAGTTTATCTTTTCGTCGCGTTTCCTTATCACCTCTTTCCTTCTCCCCCTCTCTACTCGCCACATACTCTCTATCACTCCTTGTCTCTCCCTCGATAATCCACTCCCTCTATTTCACAATCTTTCTCACTCTGCAACTTCATCTTTCACTCTGCCCTCGCAGAACAGAAGCGGAAGTTTGAAGAGCCGCGCGCGTGCCGGCCGGTGCAGGACGTCCTCCGTCCTTGTTGCTTTGTTTTTGGATTGAGAAAGATTAACGACGGGGGAGCCATTGGAAGAGGAAGCCAAAGTGTTTGTCGTGTGATATTAGCCGTGAGCCAACTGACTGGCAGGTGAACGACGCCGGAGCTGCTGTAAATTTCATCAAGTGCACTCGACAAGGAAGTGAGCCATCAAGGTACGTGTGACTTTTTGCACGTGGAAATATCTCTCTCTCTCTCTCTCTCTCTCTCTCTCTCTCTCTCTCTCTCTCTCACTCGTTCTCCTCTGGAGCGGGCTAATCTTTAACTCTCGTACTTATCGTGCGGGACGTGGATGGATATATGCACGCGCGCTCGTGTGTGGATACGTACGTCTGTCCTTTGCTCCCCATCCATCTCCTTGCGTGCACTTGTATGACCAAGGAAATAGGAAGGTGCGCCGGTTACGGGCGACGAGTAGAAAACGCCCGAGTGCGGTCTGACATCCTGCGTTTATGCATAATGTACCGTACGAGCGAGTTTGCGCTCTCCTTCCCCTCTCCTTCTCTCTCTCTCTCTCTCTATCTTACGCCCGGTGTCTTTATCCACTCTTTATGCGCATATCCTAGCATATCTATCGCAGGCCGAGTCTTCCTTTTAGTAAAGTGGCTTGTTTTTTTTTTTTTTATATAAGTATCGCGGAACTCGGCGAGCCGTGCAAGTCCAAGCGATGAGATTGCCTTTTTCTCCGGTTTTCCGCTCTACGCCTTTAATGGAGGGAAGTCGAAAAGGCCTTGAACTTAAATTCTTGCGACTGGACGACAGTGTTAGATTTACCTCGATATTTTCCACGTGATAAGATTGTATATCTACAGGGCCCTCGGCATTATATTATGGTCGGCTTGCAAGAAACGGACATTTTAATATCCCTATGAGAGCGGCGTATCGATGGACAAGTCGTTTTTGGTTTAGAAATTAAATTAATATCTCGTGCTCTCGATACTTTACGCGACACTTCTCCTTCGGAACTACTTTTGCTTCGAATACCTCGCGTATCCGTTAGATCCATAGATTTTCATAATGGGCATGTCGTGGTCCCCATGACCTACGAGTTTACTTCATTCCCAAATTCTTCACGTAGCTTCAAGCGAGCCCACGGATATTTCCTTTTTTCGTTTCGACTCGCCTATAAATAAAAGTATCTAACTGCATTATTTAGGAATTGGGTTCAGCCGCTACCTTCCTAACTCACTGACCTCGTTTCACTTTTTCATTGTCCTTCAGTGAACTCATTTCATTAAATACTTGTTGCTGAAATACATTTCCAAGAATATATAAATAAGCAATTTACATTATACCAGCTAATGCGAATGTCACTCAACTTTGAAATGTGATAGAGTCGCCCGGCAGAATCATCGAGCTAATTTGATTTTTTATTCGATTATTTATTTAGCTTCGTTTGAAAACCTCTGCCGCCACCACTGCCCACCGCTCTTATCACGCCCACTTCCCATTGTCATTCTCCTACAACCCACTCACTCTCTCTCTCTCTCTCTCTCTCTCTCTCTCTCTCTCTAGCTCTCTCTCTCTCTAGCTCTCTCCGGTACTCATCGCCAGTAAAAAAAAATCCAGTGAAAAAGAAAAAAATAGAGCCGCCGCTTTAAAAGACCTGATGTGCCCGAATCGTGGAAATACCTTAGCTTACCTTAGTTACGTAATCGGGGGAAAGACCGTCCTCGGACGTAGCGAGTGCTGGTAAATTTCTTTTTTCTCGGGCGTATCGGCGGAGGTCCTAAAACGAGCAATTAGTAAGGGCTCGAAAACGAGGGGCCGAAGCGCAGTCGCAAGAAACTAGTAAAGACACGGAGAGCCGATCTCCCCGTAAAAAGTTCCATTCCCACGGTGAAGGCTCTTCGCGTATATACAAACACTCAACGCGAGCAAGGCCTAGAGTGAGTGAGTGAGAGAGAGAGAGAGAGAGAGAGAGAGAGATACGGAGGGTAGAAGGGGAGGGCTCTCTCGCTCGCTCGCGTACAGTTCAAAGTCAGGGCCGTCGGTTAGGCAACCTTCTCCTCCTCCATCTCCCGTTCACTTATCCCCCTTCCTTCCTTCCTCTCCTATATATTTCTTGTGCGAGTAGCGCTGGTGCGCTTAGATCTTAATTGCATCACCAATTTAAGCAATTACAGAAGACTCTAGCTCGATGGGCGCGAGTTCTCAAGTTCTCAACGCGGGGAACCAGCGGGAAATAAAAGCGAATGGAAAGATGACGGAAAAGAGGCCAAACGGAAGGAGAGGCTGCCGCGGGAAAGGGAGGGCCGAGTTTCGATAATCGCAAGAAATAGTGCATAAACCATCGTTGGGAGGGAGAAGATTTTTCTCGGTAGTACGCGCAAATTGTTGTGGTGCCGTTGGCCGAGATTTTTTCGTTATATTATTAGTTTTGAAATTCATGGGACAAATGGGTCTTCGCGCTCGAAGAAATGTTCGTATTTTTTTTGTCCTTTATCTTTTCTATTTTTACTTTGTTTTTTTTTTATTTTGGGTTTTTTTTTGTCTTTGATTTTTCGTTTAAAAATCACGACGAGCTCTCGTGCCCAGACTTCCGGACAAATTAAATTTATCAATTTTAACACTTCATCGCAGCCCGGTGCAATCGTCGTTTCGGATTAATTTCATGTACGTCGTGACACTGCATTCGTAGAAAAGTAATCTCAAACTGTGAAGCGTAAGGTTTATAAAAGGGAAATTGATTTAAAGGATGACTCTCGGATTCTTCGCAGGAAAATTAATTGTATCGAGAAAAAAACGTAGAAACGCTATTTGTTTCTTGCGTTTAGCCTTTCTCTAATCGCGGGATCAGGATTATCAAATGAACTGAGTAACAAATTTTATATAATATAACATATTCCTTATTCAGTACTGAATTTAGTACTCCAACTTTAAGTAGGAATTATAATTAATAGAATATTTCCAAGGGACTAAGAAGTTGCAATTTGAAAACAAAAAAAAAAACAAAACAAAAAATAAACGATAATGAATTTTTAATAATGGTCGAGCAATATGTTATCGATCGATTAATGATTGTGCAAGATATTTATACTTTATACTGACATTTATTTTCACATATCTCACTAATGCACTTATTATATTGTATGTGTGCATTAATGCTTTTAGTAATTTAATGATTGAATTAAAAAATCTCATTACCAATGCTAGTTCCCATGCGCCACTCGTGCACAATGATCATTCAACTATTTAAAGGAATAAATTGTGTGCAGAAAAAACATTTAATAAATACTCGATGAAAGAATAGTCGCGCTTATTCGAAAGGTTAACATTTCTCTAAGCTTTTACATCTCTCACTCTCTAGCTCTCCTTTTATCTCTGCCATCCATTCTCTGATGCAACATTCATACATTTCCAAAAGTTTCCCCGTACGATCGTTATCCCATGATTTATAATGCTTAGTTCTGCAAGACAAGAAGAAAAAGAGGTAATAAACAACAATGAGGACGAAGAAGTCAGAAGTCGAAGTCTTGCATTCGCAAATGCGACTTACGATTTCTCTGTCTTGATGAGTGAAGCAGAAGTTCTGAGAAAAGGTAGATCGCGAGAATTCTCGGTTTATTTTCGTCCAGGCAAACTCAATTCTCCCCGCGCCCCTTATTCCTCTTTCTCACTCTCTCTTTATGTCTCTGTCTATCTATCTATCTATCTATCTATTTAACTATCTCTCTCTATCTCTCACTCTCTCTCGCAAACACACACACACGCTCTCTCTCTCTCTCTCTCTCTCTCTTGGTCTTTCCCTTATTTATTCTAGCTTGCATACACGTTGCAATCCTTAAAACTACGGTTTACCGAGGAAACGAGTGTCACATTGATATTCAGCGGACAGATAAGACTCGTGGGTTTCTACTCGTCCCTTTCTTCTCGAAAAAATACGAATAAAGAAAGAGCAACAGAAGTTGGATGAGGATGAGGTGGAGGAGGAGGAGGTAGGGAGGGGGAGGGAGCTCGACAACGGTGTACGATCGAAATCGAGGGGGATATGCGCGGTGATGCCGATGCGCGCGACGAATGCGATGCGCGGTGAGCTCGACGCTAGTAGAAACTGCATGCGCCCCTCATTGCTCGTACATCCTCCTCACGGAATTTCAATGTTGTCCACGTTGACGGCGACGAATGCGACAGTAGCATTGGCTTTTATGCCCTTTTGTGCGGGTCAACCTTGGGAGGTGGTGATGCGCCTTCGTGGAAGACGATCGACTCCTCCCCCTCCCCCGTTCGATCCCACGATCCCTTGGCTTATTTGAACGAAACTCGAGTCGCAGATCCATAAATCCGCATTGTTTAAACAAGAACATAGTACGAGTGGAAGATGGAGAGCTTGTCGTCCCCAAGCTCGAACCACGAGCTCTCCCCTCCCTCAATCGCGCAACTGCCTATGTACGACCAAGCGAATGCGCGAATGCACCATCTCTATGATGCAACTATATTAACTAGTACGCATGCCTGCGCGTTAATTACGTCTTATCGCAACAAGTACGAGATGATGATTTTTAAATGGCAAGCGCGCAATACCAAGGCTTTTATGATTTTTCATCAATGGGGAAAAGGAAGCACTAAACGGCTTTTTCCCCCGGCTTGAGAAATCACCTGAGTTGTTAAAGATTTAAGAAATTTCAAGAGATTGCTCGTTGAGTGGGAAAATTACTGTTGGCGATTGCTCATAAATATGCATTCGATCGTTATCCTCTTTGAATTATGCGAGCAAAAAAGTGACGACTTTATCGTAGGCTCGTGCCTTTTTATAATGCATGCGCGTATAGAAAATAATCTATTCCGGTATCTAACTTTCTTGTTTCGTTGGGGCACGAGCGAGTAGTGAGAGAACCGCTGGCATATAATTTGAAAAATAAACGTAATTATAGTGCGTTTTGTTCTCAGACGAACTTGTCGGTGCTACATAAATCATAGGCGAGCAGAAGCACTCCTACAAAACTTGATTGGATTTTTTTGCTCTTGTCGTTGTTGTCGTTGTTGATGTTAGTGGTGGTAGTGGTGGTGGTGGCAGCGGCGGTGGTGGCGATGGTGATGGTGGTGGTGGCGATGGTGTTTCCAGCGACTACAGCTTGACTCTTTGATTAACAGAAACTATGAAACTCATCGTCGAGTGTAAAAAGGACGAGACTCTTTTCAATGAGAAAAATAT